GTTACCTCCCCGGGCTGCTCGCAGCCCGGGGCAACCAAGCGAAAGCTAGTTTAAAATATATACAGCTGTATAAACCAACTCAGCCCACAATGACTCGAGAAAACCTTCGCATGCGTGCATCATCGTTCGAGCCATTTCGACAATTGTACGATTATCTCTTTCACAGCACCCGTTTTGCTCAGGGGTATATGGACATGTAAGTCTATGTTTAATACCCTCTTTCTTTAAAGTGTCTTCAAAATTTTTATTAATGAATTCACCTCCATTATCAGTCAATAATTCCTTGACAATGCGACCATGAGTCTTGGTTAAAGCAAGCATTTCCTTTAACTTCTCTGGAACTTCAGATTTCTGCTTTAAGAAATAAATGAAGCGAAATTTCGAATAGTCATCTTTAAAGAGTAGAAAATATCTGTGTTTAGATAGAGAAGGCGGAAATGGACCACAAACATCAGCATGTAATATTTCACCTGGCGATTTTGCCCTTATTCTGATGCCAAACTGTCGCCGATGTGCTTTACCGAATATACAACATTCACACAATTCTCCCGTATCTTTAAGTTTGATGTCTAATTCTCTCTCGACCAGACTTTTCACATATCTTTTATCTTGATGACCCATTCGTTCATGGTACAGCTGCAATGTATCCACAGCAGTCACAGAAGCATTTGCTTTAGATTGCACCGCTGAGCATTTCAGCTTATAAAGTCCACCAAATATCTGTCTACGTCCTGCCACAACAACCTTCCTGTTAATTTCCATTGTGCATGACGTGACCTTTGACTGAAATAGACTGTCGGGATTCTTATCGTGTGCCGCTAACACCGAAAATAAATTTCTAGCAATACTTGGTACAAACCAAACATCTCTTAGAAAAAATTCTTCACCATTCGCTTTCATTCTTATTGTGCCTTTTCCTACAGCTTCAACTACGTCACCATTCGCTGTGGTAACAGTGTGGCGTTGATCAAAGTGTATGAAATCATAAAACAAGTCTTCACGCATCGTAACATGGTGAGTAGCCCCGTTGTCTACGTACCAAGATTCACGATCCAGACTACACTCTACAAGGCTGCTAAAGATATTCATATTGGTACTCGTAGTGCCTTCAGCTAAACTGGTGCTACTATAAACTTTTTCTTTCTTCTGAGGACAGTCCTTTCTAATGTGACCTACTTTCTTACAAATGTAGCATCTGACTTTACATCCTCCGTTTGGTTCTTTCTTGGCGCGTGCCGATGCTTTCGGTTTCACTGTGAGAGCTTCGCCAGATTTCCTGAATTCACCATCTAGGTTATTCCTCAATGCCCTTTCGTGAGAGCATAGCTGGCTAGTGATGTTTTCAACAGTACGATCCTTTTTGGACATCAACAACCAACTCGACTTGAATGAAAAATATTCTTCAGGCAAAGTATCTAGAATTTTGCATATCAACAAAAAATCTGGTAGTTTAGTTTCGTCATTCCTTGCTCGTTCTAAATGTAACTTATGCCAAATATTTTTAATCTTGGAGATGTGAGTAGATATATTTTCAGTATCCATCTTTTTATATTGGAAAAAATCCATACAGGTTTCGTACAATTTATCATCTGTTGACCCATCAAATATTCTATGTAATTCGTCCCATACATCCTTCGGGTTTGTAAATCGAATCACTTTCTCGAGCGTCTCATCAGAAATATTATTTGTTATCAAGAGCAAGGCAGTACTTTCTAGTGTACAGTACTCCTTAAGACGTTTTTCATATAGTGCATGAGCAGCCACTACATCAACGTCACCACCAGCAGCGGTTGTTTGTTCAGGCTTCTGTACTTTACCCACAACAATATCCATAATGCCGTCCATGCCTCGAAGAACTGCAGACATACGGTATTTCCATGGTATCCAATTGTTGGTATTTCCATCAAGTTTTGGAATCTGAATTTTACTGAATTCCATACTTCCAAGCAAAAATATAGTTTTACTTCCAGCGTGATAAGCCCATAACCACTTAAAGGTAGAACTTAATAAAAAGCTTTTACAAACAACCAAAACTTAAAAATTCCATTTATTGACAACATCAAGAAGAACAGAGTAAAAAAAAACAATTTAAACACCAAGTTGTCATTAATAAAACTATAAATTAAACAAGAAGGTTTTCAACGTAAAGGAGTTTACTCCATTAGTTAGTCTGTTAATCGATTTAAGCATTTTGACTGTCTTGTTTATTGATTGACTGCTAGAATTTGCATGAAAACAGTCTTATAAATCACACACTAGTTTATTTTGATTTAGAAATGAAGAAGTCAATGACCGATTAAAAACTTTTCCTCAGTACGTCCCAAAAACAGCTGACTCAGGGTTGAAAACACTCATTTTTATTAAAAAATTTTGTAATTTAATATCTCCGAAACTATTTGACCTAGACTTATAATTTCTTTTACATTATATTAAAGACAAATAGTACTCTCCAGGAACCTCGCGAGTGTCGGTCGTTCTGTTCCACCGAGTAGATAAACTTCTTTTTGTATTGATAGCAGTGTGCAATGATGAACTTAATCGTTTATCCACACAAAGACCAACAAAAACATGACAAACCAACTTGTAACACGAGTTGAAATAACGGCTTAGCATAATTTTCAAAATCTGCAATAAATTATTAGATTCATTATTTACATTACATTTTTACATGTAGAAATTAATTTATTCACTTGACATGGCAGATCCGTGCGAATCGCGCAGATAAGCCAACATTAATAAAAGAAGAATAATAAATGATAATACAAGTAAATAATAATAATAATAACACTTAATATTTGATTAAAATGCCTGCATGAATCATCACTGTGGAAAGATATAAAAAAAAAAAATTAGAAATATTTCGAATACTAAAATCTAAATGTCCATATAAGTTTTAACTACACCAAATTCTTTTATTATTACACAAAATATTTTGTTAAGTATTTTTTTTTAACATAAAATTTGGTATTTTTCTTAACGTAAGATTAGGTTTAGTTAATAACTTATTAGTGGTCGATATTGTTATTTCACTAAAAGTTAAAGTCACTGTTAATGCTTGTTTTTTAAACGAGTATATATCGTCGTTTTAATAAATTCAGCCTACAGTGAAATAAAACCTACCAATAAAAAAAATACTGAAACAAGAGTCTTTTTGTCTTTTAATATAGTTTTGTCACATTTCAATACAAAAGCTGTTAAATGGTGTGTTTCTTACTATGCCAAAAAAAGCTCTGGTTGAATATAATTTTTGGCTTGGCGAGACTTCTCGGCGTGAGTCAGCACCACATATAAAACATAACACATTAGGTAGAGTTTAAAATCAATAACAGAAATTTAACATAGTGTGGTAATCTAACATTCAGCCGCTTTTGTACTGACAACACGACAATAATGGCAGGCTGTGTTAGCTCAAGTCAGTGGCGTAGCTAGGTAATCTAGGGCCCTGGGGCAAATAAAAAAATGGGGCCCACTGCTATCAAAACTGGTAAGGTTTTTTGAAGTAAAATCATTAAATATACATATAAATTTATCATCACCTCTTTTTCGTGCATAGGCAGGTAATAAAACTATTAAACACTAACAACATAAATTACAATTATTTTTATACTTGGTGTAGGTATTGGGCAATAAAACGAAATAAAAAAGATTCAAGGGTTTATTATATATTTATTTAATCATAGATACGTTGCACCAGTTTACTGTTATTTAACCTATCGCCATGCAAGCTATTTACAAAAATTACCAATAGAAATATTTGATCCAGAAGTACTTGCAGAAGGCTGACTAAAAAACTTGTCAATTTTGGGCAATTTTTGTTTACTTTCTCCTCTTTCTTGGCGTTGTTTGCGTTTAAATGCACCACCGGGTTTCTTTTTTTTTTTGTCCATAATATTAGTTTTCTAATTTATTTATGCAATATTTATGTAAGATTGTACTCAAGTAGGTACTCACTGTTCACTGACAACGTTACAAGTAAAAGGAAAGCGAAACGTGAATGAATGAAAATGATACGATACAAGGCGTCGTTGGGGAATCCCCGGCAAACACTTTATCGCCGTCAGTGTTACTACATTTGACGGTTTGACGGACTACAATCAAATAAAATTGAACTTTTGTATGGACCAGTACAAAAAACTCCTGATACAATAACTTTTTAACCATTCTCGAAAAAATCTTGACTCGAAGTTCAAAAACGCATATCGATAAATAATAATATGCAGATACTGATTTCCAACAAATTGATGAAAACATTAATAACACTGTCAACCCACACAAATAATTTACGGGAATTCCCTTTTTACTCGACTGCGCGACGCAAAGGAGGGTACCTAATTATAACTTTGGAATTACTCACAACTGAGTTTCCATGATTAAACTCGAGTTGTCACCTGTCACTTTTATTTTGAGGATGGGAGAAATTTTCAAAAGATGAGTTTGATTGAGATTTTCTGGTAAAGATTCGAGGGCCCCCTGAGCTTGAGGGCCCCGGGGCACTGCCCCGCCTAGCCCCTTAGTAGCTACGCCACTGGCTCAAGTAAAAATAGAGAGTCAGCATCCCTAATTTTAATTGTCTCTCCATCAAGTAGCGAATAACATTAAATACGTATTCTTTTATTTTTGCCTTAATCAATAAATTACGTTGAGTTGAATGTTATATGACGTCACACCTTTGTACATTTTATATTTCGACATGAACTCAGCAAGCCCCCCCCCCCACTTAATTTTAATGTTTATTACCTATGCCAGTTCTTGTTAAAATACGTGTCCTATATTATACTTTTTTTACCCAGACATCATTTCTATTGGTTGATATAAGTAGAAGTAGGGTCGCAATATTCAACTAAATATTTACATAAAAATGACAATATCAGAAACGATAAAGTATTGTTGACGTTACCACAGAGGCAAATACACTCTTCCATGGACTGTTATAAAAAGTAATAAATATATCTATATAATAGGGGTTTTATAGGTGTAATAAAAAGATAACAGTAACTTTTATAATAAATATTTTATTTGGTTCACATTTTACTTTTCTAAATAATTAAAACTAAAAAGACACATTCCATTCAAATCAATACTAATTAGCACTGAGAATACAAACTTTATTTTATTTGTCATGTCAATTTTAATTAGTCATTGTCCATAAATAAATTAAAACTTATCTAACATAAAGTGATAGGTAAATAATATTATTTGTTACTAGTGGACGCCCGCGACTTCGTCCGCGTGGAAGTCGGTATCCCGTGGGAGTGAGAAGTTTTCCCAGTAAAAAGTACCCTATGTGTTATTCTGATGTATAACCTATATTGCTGTAAAGTTTTATCCAAATCCGTCCAGTAGTTTTTTCGTGAAAGAGTAACAAACATCCATACATCCATACTTACAAACTTTCGCCTTTATAATATTAATAGGATGTTCTCTAGCGCCATCGTCTAAAACATATGAATAAAGGCACAGACATATCACAGTTTGATAATAACTAACGTTAATGTAGAAGAATATATAATTTTTAATATTTACAAACAAACATCACAAATTGTGTTAATAATTTACTTCTGTGCACAAAAGACATTGGACTAACAGATGGCGCTGTTAATTTCACTACTCGACACTAGATGTCGCTAAAAGCCTTGTTTGGCGTCTCGGAATTTACGACCAGCGGGTAGGTCCACTAAGCAGGGGACTTGAACTAGATTGAAGTAGATGTGGCCCATGAGGTGAGATGCCGAGGTGTTGGTTGATTTAAGACACTCGAAAAGCATGTCGTCACATGTGCAATGGGATTTGCTGTAAAGCGAGTTGTTAGTGAGGTTGTAGCGTTGTGAAAAGGCGCGCACTTTTGTCGGACAGAGGTCATGCGTGCGGCAGCAGCGATCCAGGCGCCTGTCAGCTCCGAGGTCGTGATAATTAGTGGCTATGTCCCCAGTGCCGCACCATTTTGTGCCTGGAACAAGACGTTGTTACAAATAAATTATAACCATATCTGTCCGTTGCAGAGATTATCATCATCTCCTAAGTAATATTTTGACTAACATTTTATTGCAACTTTATGTTAATAAATAAGGTAAGATGCTTTCTAATAATAATATTATTATACCTATATACTTTAATTATAACACCTATACTGTCTAATTAATACGGATGTTTTCAGTAGAATTCCATATTAAACAAATTGTTGTAAAGATTAATATAATTAATTAATACCGAGAATATTTCTGTTTATTCATCATTCTAATCATTAAGGTATTATTAAAATTGCTTTTATTACATGAGAAGTAAAACCGTTATCAAAAAGATAATAATTTAATTTAAAGGGAAATAAAACCATTATTAGACTGAGCGGAATGCTGGACGGTAAAATGGTCGGATGAAAGTCCATTAAATTGCATGTATGGAGTGACGACAATAGGGATGATGACTAATTTTTGTTTGTTTGTCCCTCAGGTAGAGTGTTAAAAAATATTAAACACGTATTTTTTTATTTTTTTCGTAATCATAAAATTACGGCGTTACATGGAGTTTAATTTTCGCATGACGTCACGTTAGAGTACGTTTTCTACTCGACTGTGACGTAGCGAGCCCCCACTCCTCAACTTTAATGCCGGTTATCTAAACTATTTCTTGTTAAATTGAAGTAAAAAAAAATACGTATCTAATATTTTTCTATTATCTGACTGGCGGACTAAATAGAATTGCATTTTTTTTACCCAGTCATCATCCCTATTATGAACGGAGCGAACAATGAGTACCTATGTAAAGGGAAGTTTTGAGTAGCGCCAGAGATATGAAACTTTAAAAGCAACCGATTGTCTTGGTGTGGATAGTCATGTGATGAGAGGAGATATTTACATGTAACAAAAAGGGTTATAAGCATGAATGTAAGAAGGCACATGTTGCTTGTAGAGCTCTAAGCTTGTTGCTTATGAGAGGAGTGGAAAAACGAAGAAAGACGGGTAGACTGTGTGAGACATAGTATGTGTAAGAAAGGAGTTAATGTTGATAATGACGGCTGACGATATAATCTAAGTTTTACACACGACAATCTCTTAGATGCAAGCGTTGCGTGTCTTACTCGATGAAGACATGTGTTTACAACTGCTCCGATAATAAGCTCATACAAAGTGATTTTACGCTGTGTAGTTTGAGTGGTACCCACCAGGTATAATGCCCTGCAGTAGAGTGAGAGGGCTGCCGCCAAGTAGACCCGCGTGCGCGCCACCCGCGTCAAGCCTCGCTCTTGCTGCCCCCGCCCCCGCACCTGCTCCTGCCTCTCCTGCCGATCCTGGCTCTTGGCTCAAGGTCCTCCTCACCCCGCCTGGCACGCTGTTCCTACCACGTCCCTTATGCTTGGTCTCAACTCCCTCAACCTGGAAACAACATTAGAAAATATGCTCAAATCTCTAAAGAGAGTAAAACATGCACATTATCCGACTTCAGTGATGGTTTTGTCAGGTTTTAGCTATGAAGGAGTGACCGAGCCACATTTATGAAAAAGGCATCAAAACCGCGGCACAAGTGTATCAAGATTCACTTCATTCATTCTCGAGAAGGAGCCGCTCAACAGCACCAGTTTAATAAAGTGGTCCTTTCGGCAAGTCTCGGCGCCAGGTCATAAAGCTTGATCCACCCAATCTTGGTTAGAAACGAACGAAGAGCTCAAGTCATCAGATTTAAATCCGCTGGATTATGATTTATGGTCAGTTTTAGAGATTAAGAAGTTTGGCAGTTAAGAATTTTCCCATGGAAAGAGTGCGTGCGTCTATTGATAATTGGCTTCAACGCATAAAGTAGTGTCTTGCAGTCAATGGAGACCACTTAAAATAAGTAAAATATATTTTAACGGATTTATATTAATGTAATAATAAACTAACACACTATAATAGTAATAAATGTTACGTTTAATAAAAAAAAATGTTGATGTCCTATGTAAGAATAATTATGGCAAGACTATGTATAAAGCTGAAATCACTTTAAGAAACTTATAGTGTCACGTAACTTTGGCAATGGCGTGCAATTGACAGATCTCTGATACACTGGCTCCGTCAACATCCAATTGTTACAATACGTATATGGTGTAGTAGTAGTAGTTTTTCCATGTCAATTCAGCTGAATTTAGTTGCGTAAAACTAGTTTCATAAAAATTATGCGCATCGAACAAAAGGTGTCGTGAACTCGTGAAAATAATGCTAGCAAAATTAATATTTACAATGAAACTAGTTTCACGCAAATACTTTCGTAAAGTATTTTCGGCTTAAGGCACAAAGGAAATAAGGAGCGTGGCATATGAAACTTGTTACATCTACAACTTTATATGTACATAAGTATTTATAGGTACGACGTACGTTCGTTAGGTGGGACGGTACGGGAGTGCTTCAAGGCAGACTTTCCTCGGTTTCATTTGCTTTCTCAACTTTCCCCGACGCCTTCGTGATCGTGATCACAAATAATTCTAAGCACAATACAATGAAAGAATGGTTTTTTTTTTCATTTAGAATGTTACGATAGCTCCTATAATTGTCCTAACTTATGAGTTCAAGGTTTAAAGTTGTGAATGGTAGTACTTATACATAGAAAAATGAAATGTTATAATTATGATCAGCAATCTCTTATATTTGTTATCTTCGGTTTTAACAACTTAATAGAGACAAATACATGAATCTGATTTACAGTAACGAACACAATAGGTATTATATTTTTGTGCAATATATACAATTTTTTCATAATTATTGATTCATAATTATTTTGTTCAGTTGTATCCTTTACCCAAGGACTCATCGATACCTAGTTCATAAGTAAAATCGATAACGCCTAAATAGTCAAGTTTGTATTGATTTTTTCGTCCTATAACATCGTCCTTGGTAATATCGGTTAGCTATAAAACATTAATGTTTATTTCAGTTAAACCACTATTTAACGGAATTATTTAGACAGGATCCGTAAGAGAACCAGAGTTACTGACATTGTTCGAAAGACTGCTCGGCTGATGTGCACATAGAAGGACCGATTGCCTAAGGCGCGGAAAGGTTCCAGAACGTTGACCGCGTACCGGACAACGTTCTGGCCAGCAGTGGGCGTTGCTTGTACGTCTGATGATGATGATTTGAATAGAATCTTTATTAGGTTTCTAAATGTGATTATTATTTAAGTTTTGAAAAACTTCATTTTGACTGTCAATAGGTTGGTACAATACCTATCGTATTATGTTAAATTTAAAGAGAAATCTAACTTAAAAAGTTGGTCCGAAAATCTTTTAAAAATTAATGCATGACAAGTCAATACAATGTCTTTCTGCAGATTATTTTCAACTCTAAATGTAGAACATATCTAACCAACAGTTTTCAATGATAAAAAAAAAATACCAAAATAAGCTTTTGATAGAATTCCAAACAAACTATTGTTCAAATGACTCTAACGTAGTAGTATCAATTTTAACATTGAAGCTTTACGGTTGCGACTATTTTCACTTGTAAAAACATAAAAGGCAATATATAAAAGACCAAAAGACAATTAGAAAGTATTCTAAAAGTGCTATTATGCCATTGTCATTTGTACATTTGGTAAGATCGTTGGAGACACATTCAAGAAATTGAGTCATAGTTTGCGCTGTGTGACGTAAGCGAATTATCGTACCACTAATTTTAGAGAAACTTTGGAAATCTTTATTATTTGAAAATTAACTAAAAGCAAAAGACAGCATGTATACTGTATTTTTTTTAAATATGCTGAGTTGATTTTAGTACGGGAGTACGTGAACAGTTTTGCTTTAGATCCCCCTTATGAGGGGGGATCGTACCAGCCCCTATGAGTAGGGGAGGCGCTGGATGAAATGATGAGTGCGAGGATGAGGAGAGGAGGCTGGAGCCCGGGAGCGTCCTACTGAACCCGTAGTGTCCTCCTCTCATAGAGGTAGAGAGAGAGAGTGGATAGAGGGTGATGAGAGAGAGGGAGCGAGGGTCGAAGAATGGTGAAAGAAGAAGTGAGGATGTATACTGTATTTGCAGAAAATTATAATAGAGATATTTATTTATGGATCTAATTATTTTTTAATGAGTAATAAAGTATATTTTCAGTACATAACGTGTATATTTGTTCGTTTACTAGGCAGGGAAATCTAAATAGTATTCGATATGTATTTATCAATATTAGTAAAAATTTTATACATTCCCAATGGACCAGCAGGGGTGTGTGCGACCACCTAAGTCTCGAAACTTCAATATTATGGCGATATATTGTTCCATTTTACTACTTTGACTTATACTTTAGTAAAGATGAACGAAGGATAGATAATGATGATTATGGATTTGATAGAAGTGTTACCAACTTAGTCGTTTATCTCAAATTAATTCACCAAAAGACATGTCACTACATATTTTCAGAACATCCCATAGATATCGACTCCTCTGGCTAGTATCAAGGCGAGAGAGAGCTAGGCGGTTGCTCTGCAACAGATGCTCTATTAGAATGAACCAAGTAATAAATAGCGACATTATTCATTTTTCCGTGCATTATGAATACGTGCAATAGCGACAAGATAAAAACTTTCTTTATTTATCTTAACAGTTATCATATTGCCGCGACATTATGAATAATGCTGGCTGCATTTCGACCAATCGTCCTCCGTAGCTGAGTGGTTCGCACACCGGGTTCAAGGTGTTGTCATATCTATGGTCCCGGGTTTTATTCCCGGTCGAGTCAATATAGAAAATTAACTTTTCTATATTGTCTCGGTTCTGGGTGTTGTGTTACATTTGTTGTCTCAGATACTCCATATGGACTTTAGCTACTCATGTTGGAATCTGAGCAAAGTATGTGATGTTGTCTAATATTTATTTAATACCTATTTAATCTGTTAAATACCTAATGCAGACATTGCAAAGAGCAACAACAATTACACATGATATTTTTCAAAAAATTCTCAAAATGTGAAATTACGGATCACATTAGTGTCCAAATATTTTGCAGCATTGTTTGTAATATGTTACCAAATTATCATATTATTATCTTTGGGATCTTTCCAGTAACTTAAAATTGTTTGATTATTACCTGTTGACACTGGCCCATCAGTTTGATCATCTGAGAGAAGGTGACCTCCAGAGGCCGGTTGATGCGACTCAGTTGCTTCAGGAGCCTGTTTGTGTCGTCTTCGTCACTGAAAATTAATTTTATTACATAACATTTCATACGCCTATTTAAATAAAAAAACATTTACATTTAATAAAAAAAAAACTTAAAACATTTTAAATAATTGCATATTGATATAGTATTGTGTCAGTAATACCTATATATCGTATCATACTGCTCAATAATCAATGAAACTTATAGGTATGAAACTGTCCTTTATTTATATTACTATCGTAGGTTTAGCTATCTCTTAATACATAAAAGAAATACACAGTCACAGCTCCAGGCTGTACTTGGTAAATTATGGGATATGGCTGACCTAACCGATCGCGGCCTTCCCTTCCTATACCCAGGGGTAATCTTAAATAATCACATTATGAATCCTGACGTCAGTGCAGATATCCACTGTCCCAGTGAACCAGTTGTGAGTTGTAAAGTCACCATTATGTAACGTGGTGGTTCGTTGACCCTGCGCATGCGCACCGGGTCACTTCACTTTCACCGTGGACCAGTAAACCACAGTCAGATCGAACTGTACAACCCGTTCAATAGGTCAATATCAGAATAAACTTGATATGTTGTTTTATTACGAACCATAACGAATTACATATACTATAACTTGAAATATTAACAATCTCTAATGTCTCAAACTGTATTGACGCACAAAATCATAAAGCGTATACATAGAACATTTAAGGCATTGGTTATTTAAGGAAAACATTCTCGTCTGAATCGCCGTGGTCTATTATTATTTTTTTACTGTATTGTTGGTGCTCTTATTAACATGTTCAAGCACTTTAAAATGCAGAATAATATATGAATAAATTGCGCCACTGTCGGGTTTTTATTAAGTAGTTCATTATCTCGTTTCATAGTTTTTTAGAGCGTGATTATTGTTAGTCAAGTTTATATTTGAACATAAATTTTCTTTGTTATTACATATGTAATTAACATCTCTCCGTTGTAGCCTCAGGTTTATAGTTAAGGATGTATTAACTCTCGGGGCTGGGGTGTAAAATGCCTTATACCCATAATTCTTAGATCACTTAAATAAATAATACATTTTATTTCACTTGTAAAATTAGCGTAAAGAAAAGTATATAGGTATAATTTACTTATACATCAATTTATAACATGATAAATCATAAAGTCCTGTAGCTAGTTACACAGTAGCTTCACAAGTAGATTCAATAGCATAATCCAATAATGCATACACTCAGATATATTTAGGTCATTGGGTTACGTATATACCAAGATGGAGAATTCTTGTTAGGCAAAAAACAAATGTACTCAGTACAATATAGCTCCCTGTATTTGTATAACGTTCCTTTTAAGTATTTTCTCTAAACATTATTTTAGAAACTATTACACTTAAGTTACTCTAGTACTTCATCAGGAAACCTTTTACTGAGAATACCAGAACAGAAATATACTTAGCAATGACAGTTTTTTTACACATGTTCAAACTTAGATTCTTTCAAGTCACAATATTAATTTACTTTATTTTTTTTTTATTTTTAATTACCAAGCTTGGTTTACATTAGAGGTTCCCTTACAGAGGATGCCGAACTGGTTTCTGAATTGAGAATTTAAAGTTAAGCACGTTTCAAACCGTACTCAAACCATTTCAAAAGTCGCTAAAGAGGTTTTCGTTTCCGATTTTAATTATTTTAATGATAGTAGTTTGACAAAACTAGGACTTTTCTGAATGAAAAATTAAGTTATTGAGAATAAGTAGTAGAGAATTCATCCTTTTCTCTATCGTGTAGTGGAACGCAACGATCACCACTATAGAGACATTCCGAGCTGCTGATAGATACCTAGTATCTAAGTTACTTTAGATATTTTTTGTTACACGTAAAAAGATAAAGAAACTCCTAACTTATTAAAACTAATAACTTATTAAATTTCGAACGAAATTGGGCTTTCGTGGCACAAATCAAAGACTCAAAACCTGAATGGCTAACGCATGCGAGGAATTTCATTTTCCCTGAAAGAAAATGCATTACAATAAGACTGTAACAAATGATGTTTTCGGTTGATGTCAGGTGCTGGGAAGTGATGTGAAAGTGCGCATTGTATGTTGGTTCGTTTGTAAAGAAAATGGAGCTGTTTGTATTTGGGTGGTTTCTAAGAAAGGTTTCTTGGCTTCAGATTGCTCGCACCGTTTTTTCCCACTACAAGTATAAAATCTAAAATAAATTACCCAATTCGACCGAAACCGATAGACCTGCCGTGTATTACGTAATTAAAAGAAAAAACATGGACTGACCGAGAATACTTTTCTCAGGAATCATCTATTTTATGGCGGTGTATAACTATTAGCAGCAATTCTTTATGTTTAAAATTCAATAAGTAATAGAAAATATATTAAATGGTTTGCAATAGATCTGGACCTGAAAAGCATTAGGTCGGATGTGCAGAACCAGCTAAAATCACTTATCGCCATAACGTTGCTACACTCTTTTTTCTCTTTCCGGCAAATTAACTCTTGTATGTTTGTGCCTTTTTACTCATGAGCAACAGTCATGCATAAAGTCGGATCAGACGACTTTTTCAAATATTTTGATTGCATTTAGCTATTTCTGTTTTTATACAGTTTTTATACATCCGACCTAATGCTTTTCAGGTCCAGAGATTTTGTTTGACATGATTTACAGATCCAGTAATGGACTACCACGTTGGGCGCCAAAATATGAGAAAATTATGATGCTTCATCTTAGTCTCTCTGGGTCTTTAAGATCGTTCACTGTTTTTAGAAATTTCTTGTGGCAACAAATCGACTAGGACTTAGAATACGTCTGAATCATCGTCCTCTGTTCTTGCCTTAGATAAATACGCTATGGCGACTTTGGATAGTCATAGGTAAAAAAACATCGTTATTTTGAAACGTAAAGTCAATTATCATAAAGCGTTGTATTATAATATTAGGTGACCGTTATGGCACGCTCATTTTAGTCATCATTTTCGATAATGATTTTATAATTTGGTAGAATTAGCTAATATCATCTCTAAACCAGAATCCATTACCCAATGGATGTTATTTGTGAGACGAATATCAATTCTATTGCCTATCATTAAGGTTTTGGTATGAGCGAAAATATTAGTAAAATAACCACTTAACGGTGGGTGTCCTCGTGCCAAATTTCGATATTGCGCAAGAGTTAGCTACCTAGCTTTATATGATGACAGTATTTATCAAATATCCGAACAGATGAATCGGAGAATATCGTGTTAAAAATTCCTTTGTTTTAATAGCATTATTAAACTTTGCATAATAATAATCTTTTGTAGGGTTTTTAATATATCGCAACACAACCAAAAGAAAATAACTGAAATCGGAAACTGATTGAATAACAAACAACGCACAGTCCAACCAAACTACAGGGCTTATAATGTGCAAACGCGCTCAGGCGTCAATTAAAAGCGAGGATTAAGGTTTTAGAATATTAATCTCTAACAGTGCTATTAATAGCGTCAGAATAAATTTACGCTAAAATTGTAATTTTAGTTATTAGACTAATAAGTCTACAAGTAATAAATTACTAGTAATAAACAAATCTAACCTTCTAGGAGTAAAAAATACTCCCGTACAACCTCGTACTAGGTTAACCTTTGTTAAGTCTCTGTTTGATAATATGAATTTTGACTTAAATATCATTTTAAGCAGTATAGATAACGGCAATGTGTTTCTTTATATGTAGTTAGGTGGTTCTAGCAATTTTTTTTTAAGTCAAATATTATTTATAATTTAGAGAAATTATGCATTAATTAAACGTAAACGTGTATTAGTTTAATTTTACCAAAAAATGGGACCTTTCTCCTCCAAAGATAAAAACCTCCCTTAAAATATAAATTAAACTTAATCTAGCACCTAAGGCATCAAAATGTAAAAAAGCAAAACAAACAGTTTCTTTCAACCGGCTGCAAAAAAGATTATCAATTCGACACGTATATAATATTTTTATAATTCACACCAGTCTCAGTCAGACCATCATCTCTAATTTAGTCTTTATTTTATTTACAGTACTGTAATCATTTTTTTTAAATATAATTCCACTCGTAATAATAAAAGACTCCTCTTGTAATTTTCAATATAAAAGATTAATCTTATTGCGTTTATTAATACTATATCAATTTACACTGTTATTTGCGTAGCGTAAACGCAGACTGCGAAAATTGCAAATTATAAAATACTCATAATAGATTTTTTTAAACAACAGAATAAAGAAAAGCTAACAAAAATATATTGTAACTATGCCTGTAAAGTTATACAATGAGTTGATAATTATATGAATCTATTTGGAATAAACTGGTCCGCTATTTGGAAAATTTTGTTTTTTTATCACGATACTATTCATATTGAATTATGTATTTATGTAGTTGTATATGTACGGGCTCGCCTCACGTGTCGGTTGTCGGTTTATATTCGCGTGATCAATCTGTGGATCGCATCATGCGACAACGAACCATTACAACGTTTGATGACACGACTAACGTAATTGTGCTTACTTTGTGATCAATGAGGTATCATTATTTATAAGGTTAAATTATTGATGTTTATTCCTAAAGATTTATAATACACTAATTTTTTATATATATATTAAAAAGAAATAGAGAGAAAATAACGCAATATTCTGTCCCAAAAACCTTGAGCTTCAAGGATTCATTTTGATAGATCAATCGGGACTTCAATTACGAGCGTCAGAGTCGTTAGAGCCCTAAACTTAATATTTGAATACCTACACTTTTTCTTACTCTACGTCATAAAAATCGATAAGTTATAGCAAAATGGACAACCAAATAATTTATTAAATCTAGGTTTATTATATCTAGGATTGCCATTCTAATCGATGGTCCATTTTTACTGTTTTATGTACCTATGAAAATTTTGCACTCCATTTATTATTTATTATACACATTATTAGCTTACTCCATCCGTTAACCAAATAGAACTTTCTAATGATGCCAAAAATCGATGTTATATATTGCATAACTCCATCAGTCCCAGTAATTGGACAATGATCC